CAAGTACAACAGGTAAAATTACATGAAAGTATGCAAATCAGATCTGCAAATATGTTGAAGAGTCAGTGTTGTGTCTGTTTGGATAAACTTCCTTGTACAACTGTATTCCAAATACAAGAACACTGTCAATCACAGAACTGTTCCAGCGAAAAACTTCTGATATTTTAGACAGTAACAGGGCAAAGATACCGTTTGTCATACAAGTACTAGCACCAGATGAAGAACTGAGAAACTGCAATAATCCTTGGTGTACATTACCTGTGTCAACAACTTTACTTCCCATGTACTTCATATGTACATGTAGTTTATGGCCCTGAATTAGTTTCAATATCTCTATATAAGGACAAGAGTACTTCTCATATGACAATGATACAAATAAAGTGCAAGAATCCTAAAAAATATTATCAAGTTTTTATTATCATACATTAATATTAACAAATCGTGTGAAATTAAACTTTTATGTACAGAGAAACACATATTTATGCTTTGGTTGACAGCACTTCTCAAACAAAAAAAAAAAGACGACCTGCAAAACTTTATACAATTGTCAGACATGCAGCGAATAGTATGCTTTAATTTGTAATATATGCAGTTTCAGTGGCTTTGCTTTCTGAGAAAAAAATTCTGGCTCTGCACCTGAAAAAAACAAAAAAAAAACAATTTAGTCAAAAGTAAGCAGAGGTTGTAGCATATGTGCTCCCATTAGCTGTTAAATTTAATTAAAAAAGATATTTGTGTCCCGTCTTTTCAGTACGAAAACTTATTACTTAATATATTTATACCAGCCAGAAAGAAATTGCATTAGGAATATAAATGAACAACAATTGATGCATGTATAGCAATATACTGTTTGAAAGGCTGCAAGATGTAATGAGTAGCAACCAATCACTACTCGAGTCGGACTGGCTGGGAAACTGCACAATACATACAAAAATGTATGCAAATGATATATGAGCAGCTCCACCAAATTACCATAAAGCATTTAAATATGACAGTTCAGCGATCTCATAGTGAAAGCAACACGGAAGACCAGATTTACCGATGTTTTAGTGCGATCTTTTGGCTTCGTTTCTTATGGAAAAAAAGGCATGATTTTTTTTTTAATCGGCCCGATTTAGAAAAATAAATAAACGTACCGCCCCAAATAAAAATGTACCGGGTGGAATTTTTCTGTGGAAAAGATAAACGTACTGGTACGTTTATATTGGGACATTTACCGTTGTGGGCAAGCTCTCCTGAGGAGCAACAAATGTTTAACTTCGCCTATTGCGTGATCAGTGAGTGGATTACATAAATAAACCAACACTTTCAATGAGTACATGCCAACCCAACTAAATTTGTTTATGGCTGTTTATGAACAGCGAGGACGCATCTCATAGAACAATAGCTGAGGAAATCATAAACAAATGTAAATTGCGGAAATCAAGCATGGTGATAGTGATTTTGAGCGAGGCAGAGACTGGCAAGCGTCTCAGAGCAGCATTGCGCCGACACCACCACGACGTTTGAATCATGGTGAGAGCACTGCAAACCTCTTAAATCACAAGGTAAACTTTCAATTTACACAATACATAATCAGTTCCTACAATAATAAAAAGGCAGTTTTTCTGGCGAAACTCTCGCCAGGTTAGCAATAGTTTCTCACGATCACCAAACCCGAGACACAAATGATAATACAAAGTGTATAAATACCATAACAAGCACAGTTTCTTACCTTTGAAATTGACGAGACACTTTTTGTCCATATAAGCGTTGCGCAAATAAAGATACAATTCCGGGATACAATATCCTCACAAAAATGACTGTGATTTCCACCGAGACGAGAACTGCGTAAGCATCATCAAAACTCGGATTAAACTCGGGTAATTTCGGGAAAAGTCGGATTTTCCAGCAGTTTTAAAGGAAAAATGTTAAAATACAAAGAAAAACACAGTGAAACTTTGAAGAATCGAAAAAATAACTTGATGTGCATAATAGCACCATCAATTTGTGTCTCTGTACCAACTCTGAACTGATCGCAGATCCGGCGGGAGCTAAAAATGACAACCATTCGGCCATTTTGAATAGGATCATCAAACCAATATATCTGTTTATCTATTGACATGATGTATAATGAATATTTAAAATTTGAACATAATCAGTGAAAACAAGTCAGACATATGGCACGAGAACCACATTCATTAAAACAAAATGGCCACCAGTCGGCCATTTTGAATCTAATCTGAAAAAGAAAGTTATTTGCATCAAGGTCCCGTAATGTCTAATGTTTATACCAAGTTTGAACAAAATCCATCTGTAAACAGCCGAGAAATGCTTGACTTTTAGGATTTGTTAGCGCAAAAAATGGCTGCCATTCCGCCATCTTGAATCAGATCGTAAAACAAAATGATGTGCATCAAGGTCCTATAATGTCCAACGTATATACAAGGTTTGAACAAAAATCATCTGTAAACAGCCGGGAAATGCTTGAGTTTTATGATCGACCATCTTGAATCAGATCGTGAAACATATTGACATGCATATGTATAATATCATGTATAATGTTATGTGTGATGTTTGATTGTGACTGGTCCAGGCATTTCTAAGATACAGGTTCGGACGCACGCACGGACACACGCACGCACGGACACACAGAGGTCAAAACATAAGTCCCCGTTTTCGAACTACGACCGAATGGGGACTAAAAATGATCTTATTTTATTATTATAAGAGGGTAGGATTTTGAGGGAGGTGAACCAAAATGCACAAAATATGCGTATAAAATACATATGTATTATGGGATGGTGGGGTGAAATATTTGTCATGGTGTAAGATCAAAGAAATTAACTGCAATTGGGAATAAGATAAACCTCCTCGCCCGATTACCAAATAGGTAACCCCCCAAGTCAGACTAGACTATAGGGTTTTAATGTGTCTTGAAATACAACATCAAATAAATATACAGCCTAGAAATCCAACACCCCAACCACAACCAAACATGTAATTCTTCACATAAGATTAAATAGAGAAAAGTTGAGATCAATAATGCAAGATTTTATTTGAAAAACACCAAGTCTCAGTCTGAAGTAGCTTTGTCAACTTACCTGAAATCAAACTGTGTTAGCTTGGGAAAGAAGACAGCATCAAGGTACACTGATAAAAGATTCTCAAAATCTTTGGCATTTTGTGTTGCAAATGGATACATAGTATAATCATTGGCTGAATGAAAACATAAAATAATAAACAGATTATATCATTCCATTTTTTTTATTTTGATACTGAGACTTAGCACTTTTAATTTAACTTGATACAAACATGAATAGAATAGAATAGAATAGAATAGAATAGAATAGAATAGAATAGAATAGAATAGAATAGAATAGGTGATGAAACTATCTTTTGATCAAAACAGTTTCTTAAACACGATCTGCTTAGGCAAACTCTGAAATTCTTCATTGTGTATTGAGATTGCTCTCATAAATTGGCACCTAGCAGATTCCATCTCTGGGTTCTTGCAATCTAAGAAAGCATACATCTCATTGCCAAATAAAGTATGATATAAAGCATGGAAATTGCTACCAGTTTCAAATAATCCAGACACAAATCAAAAGATTTATAGAAACACAATTATACTAATATTTCTGGTTCATGAATGGTGGTGATAATCCACCAATCAGAATCAAGTCTGCTAAAAGTAATAGACCAATCACATCAATGAAATGGACTTTACCTGTCATTGCATTGAGAAATGTTGATAACGATCTTGTAAGCATCTTAAAAAACGGGTCCCTGACTGGATATTTCTCACTTCCGCACAGGACGGTGTGTTCGAGGATATGTGGTACGCCGGTGTTATCCATTGGGGTTGTCCGGAAATTAACACTACAAAGTCAATGTGGGTCACAGGTTATATAGATCAACTTATAAAGAGTTTCGGAGAGAGACATATCACATAAGCGTTATATATAACAAACATGATTAAAATGTCAAGGCTCTAGTTTAATATTTTCAATAAATGGCCATCACTGCACTTAAATCTGATATAACTACATGTGTAGATCGTGCAGGATCAGCAACCAATCATTGCTTAATTGTTCAGGCATGCTTTAATTGGGTGAAAACTATATGGGATCTTACAGGATCAGTAACCAATCAGAACTTGTCTTACAGGCTACTTTCTCCATGTAGTAAAGCCTTCTCTAATTGGATGTTAAATCCCATTAGAGAGAAGCTGTCAGATAAGATCCTGAGGGTTACCAAGATGTGCGCAGTTGTGGTGATGTAATAGTATGTCTCTAAATTTTAGGGAATCCAACATTAACTTGTAACAACATAGTGTAGATAACTTTATTTCAATCAAATTTATTATTACTGAAAACCTTAAATTCATAGATGTAGAAAAACAATTTTACATTAATTTATTCACAGTGTTTTAATTTTCCCACTGGCTAAATTAAATCTACCCAAACTGGTAACATTATGATAGAACAAAACAAATATGTGAATAAAAATGCGATCAAATATAAAAATATTGAAATTAAATATTTTCACTGTATGATTTTGTTGATTCATTTCTTTTTAAAATTGTTTGCATATATGCAATTTTATTATAACAAAAACATGCAGAAAAATTAATAAAGGTCAACTGCTTGAACTTTGACTTTGTGTGTGCCACAGTCAAGCTCTGCTGACATAAACATACGTTTTTTGCATACAATATTTTATTGAGACTGACAGCTAATGGGATATTAATAAAAAATAGACTCATAATTATAGCATTGTAATTTATACCGTGACACAGCCACAAATATCATGCATAATTTATCAATGCCAGACTAGTAAATGTAAAGATTACTCTCTGCTTTATTATGAGACAACAACACCGATTCAGACAGATTAAATTCCTATACATTTGATATTAAATTTAATTCAAATCTGTAATTTTGAAATAAACTTATTACGTCCTATTGAAATCCATTATTTTTTCGTAAACATTTTGCACATACTTGCGTGCTTTTCTATGATTTCTTTGTTAATTTTTGACTAAATGAAAAACATTCCCTGTTTTATTCAGTGCTGGTTTATCAAATTTTCAATAATAGTTTAATAGGTCTGTCTCCTTAATGGAGAGTCAACAACTCATTCAATATTGGAACGCACTGCAAACTATATTTTTCATGCCTCCATGACTATTTTGGAAATACTGGAATAGTGTTTTCAATTATTCATGAAGACAAATAATTTTATGAGTGAGCAAAAACTAAAATAGTGTCAGACGGTTATAAGTGTTGTGGTATATACTGATATCATTTTTCAAAGGCTTTTAATTTGTTATTAGTGAACATATCATTGAGATTCTTGAGGCATTCTTTAACAGAAATTTTTTTTTGCACATGACTACTTGAATTTCAAAATAACAACATGAACCAGTTTTAATATTATGAACTTCAGTTGTGTGTGTTTTGACCATTTTTTTATTCAAAATGGCTGCCAAAGTAAGGCAGACTGTTGACAGTCCTCAGGCATAATTTGTTAGTACATATACTAAATCAGCAAACACCGAAAGCGTTTCATGAGCACGAAAGAACAGCAAAAATAGCACATGGGTCCGTGACCTTTATTTTGTTGACCTCTAAAGAGGAAGTGAACCGAGCCATGCTCCATCTATTACTAAAACCGAGTGACGTCATTTCCTTGCATGCATAATATCAAGGGAAACTATGAAGAGGTGAACAGTCCTCCAGCCCTCGCTAAAATACCTTGCGTTTGCTGAATTAGTATACTAACAAATTAGGCCTGTCGATAGTCTACAATATACTGTAAAGGGGGTAATTATTCACTGGGTTTTAATTTAGCTTATTTCGCTGACTGGAAAAATGCGGTAAATTAAAACACAGTGAATATGTAAAATTTAGCATAGAACACATTATCTAATTGACGAAACCGTGAATTTAAAACCCACTGAATATGCCTGAAATGGTAAATCAGTGAAATTTAAACCCAGTGAAAATTAGTCATTTTACAGTAGGTTTAAATCACAATGTTATTGTTTCCATGGCAACAAGTTCAGCTACTCCTATCCTCTCAGCGATTTATTTGATAAACATTATTGCTCAGCAAAATTTTAGAAACTTGCTATGCTGTTAAATATTTTGCATTTGTGCTGCATTTAATCATTAACAGTATAAGAGTCAGTCAGTCATCAAATCGCGATAAATCACCAGTGAATATGTAAAATTTAGCATAGAACACATTATTTAAATGATAAAACCGTGAATTTAAAACCCACTGAATATGCCTGAAATGTTAAATCAGCGAAATTTAAACCCAGTGAAAAGTAGTCATTTTACAGTATTTTGTCATTACCTGAAGACATTGTTTGCATCGTCTCTGGCAATATGTAAATACTCAGCACCTGTGTTGTCATGATCTAGGTTGACGGCGGTCAAATACAACTCTGGTATCGTTACAACCTGCAGAATTAATTTAAATTGATTGTTACATTCAGTGTATAGTGAATTAATAAGAATTAATCTACCTTATATGTTCCAGTGAGTAGAAGAACATAACCATAAACATCAATGAAATGGACGATGAAATACATCATCTTATGGACTGTAAATTAAACACTGAACATAGAAATACGATGAACAATATGGTAGAATGAATGAACCAAGACTTGAAAATTGAAAAGTTAAGTCTACTACATACAATTCAAAGCGAAACAGCTATTCCATGTCTTTTGTTTATTTCTAACTTTGTTGTTTTTATATTTGCTTGGTTTTTCTCCCCCCAAAAAAGTATAACATTTTCTTCACGGTTTCAATAAAGCTCTATTCTATTCTATTTAATTAATAGAGGCATATATGTGGGGAAGAAAACATGAAAAAGAAACATCAAGTGTTTTTATGATTGGTTCTAATTGTATGGAGAAGTTTTTTTTTAAATGAACCTGTAGTATGTACTCAGTGAATGAGGCTAAATTCAAATTGTACAATTCTGAGCATAGTTGTAATATGTTTAAAGAACTTCTATTGTCTATAATGGAAAACTATTACTGTAAAATTTACTGAGGAGCATCAGTAACAGCTGGCATGACCTGAGAAGGAAGGCCCAGAGACGAGTGCAGTGGAGGAGGATGTGGTGGTGGCCGATGCTCCGACTGGGGCAAAGGGCCCAAGTAAGTAATTACTGTAAAATACTTTATTTTCACTTGGAATTAATTTTCACTATTTTCACCGATAGATTGATTCAGTGAAAATAAAATCCAGCAAATATACCTTTTTTTATATTTTACATTCAACTCATCAAAAATCAGTAAAAATAAATTCCAGCTAAAAAAAAAGTATTTTACAGTATTAGACTGGAATGTCAATTATTTTTTAAATGATTATCAATATAATTTTTCATCTCAAGTCTTGTCCACAAACTTTCAAGACATAAAGAAATAATTTCATCATTATTAGAGCAAAAACCATTTTCATAACATTTTGAACTCTTGTTTCTCAATAATATTGTGCAATGACTCAATTTTTTTCATTTTCAGTACCTTAATAATTGACATAAACCAATAACAATAAAGACAACATGTACAGTAATCTTCAATTCTACTAAAACATGTGTTTGATTACCTTGTTGACAGTGAATCCATGTACATGGTCACCAGGTTTAAATCTCTGGGCTCTTTCCAAAACTGAACTTGAACATCGCACCAAATGAGGACGTCTGAAATAAATAATAATACAATTTATCTGCTTAGTGTCAGTAATATTGCAATGATTTGATACTTTGATATTTTTTACACTTAAATTTTGGTGCATAATTCTCTATACTTTAAATATGTTTTAACCAATAGTTAAACTTTAGTAATTTACGACAAATAGACATAATTTCTCATTGGCTTCACTGATTATATAATCTGATAATTTATACCTTTCAGAGATGATAAAATAGCACAAAGTTGCCCTACGTCTCTGTATTATGACACAAAACCCTTGACACAGTCCATGTACGCAGGACTAGACTCAGAGATGTTTTAGTTTTTTTAAGGAAATAAATGATTTATAATTTTGAATACATATATAATTTTTGTCTTGTTTTAATTCAAGTTCCACATACTATACATTGTATATGCACTGGAAAATTATTGAATAATGAGCTGCTTAATTTTTACTGTGCAGCATGAGCACTCATGCGACTTCAAACAGTGTTCACAGTTTTGGCTTGAACAACAATGCTTTGTAAATTGTTCTATCTATCAATCTTGACTTGAAAACAAAAAATTGGCAACCTCAGAGTTGATTCTTTGTTTTAACAGCTTAAATGTGTAACTCCAAAAAAAATGATTTACCGGTAGATGACTGAATCTCCTATCCCTGTGTATTTTATCTTAGATATATGCATACATGTATAACATCAAACAAAAAAATACTAATTTATAGTCTATTGATGAATTTGTAAGTTTTGATGGTTGTAAAAACTAGTTCAAATTTTAGTGAATTTAAGTGTCTGTACTTAGAGAACTTTAGTTGCTTAGTGGTTACTGACATTTAATTTCACTATTTTGATGTTTTGAGCATACTCACTGTGTTTTAATTTCACAAATTTGTGTTTTATTGTTATTAATTTTACATGTTCACATACATAATTATCTGCATTTACGTTTTGTATAATTTTGAATTATTATTTTTTGTTTTAGGTCATATGCATACATATTTTTTTCACATAAGAGAGAAATTATGAAAATCAGCTCTAGTTGTTTCAAGGCTATAGCCTGTTTTGATAAACAATACCAGTGCAAGGCCACAGTAATCTCTAGAAATATACAACCTCAAACGGTTGACGTGCGTGTTCGCATTGAACTACGCGATTTTACAGAGTGTTCAAACTGTGAAACAACCATGACATGGTTGTTACAGACATGTGTTATGCACTGGCGAACGATTGGCGAACGCATGGCAAAAGTCCCGGTATTTCGACTTCTTTTATATTTACCTGATTTGGTCACTTCGTTGTAACATCGACGTCAGATTGTTTACAGAACGTAATCTTAACATCCTGTAAAACAAGGATGTTTCTTCAAGGTGTAATTTGAACGGCAGAAAAGCGCAAACCCACACGTAGAAATCCGCTTTACGTGCGACCAGGTTTGACCCGAACCTTCAAAACATGACCTGTGTCCTGTTTGTTTTCTCATTCTCGTCTCCAGTGTTTCGCCAACGCCATCGTTTCCCAGGATCACTAATAATTTTTCTTCGTCAATTCATTTGTCACCATCGTTCAGTTTGATTGGGGATCTCACGCCATGTTACTTATAGATGGTTTTTGTTTTACATTCAGAAAATCGTAAAATCGAACATCGTTGCAAGTTACGAGTGTATGTTACATGTGTCTGTCACAACAAACTTGTCTGTGTGTCCAACTGTCCTATAGGAAGTGCAGCTGATCGGAAACCAGGAAATCCAAAACCTGTCTGAACTCAAACTTTTTATCCCAGTGTTGTGACTATTTGCAGGAATCGATATAGGTAACTAACTCTTAATATTGCTTGCCAACTGTTAATATGGTGCCTGGATCGACCGGGTCACTTTTTTCTGGCGTGGGCGGGGTTGGCCCTCGAGGGCCGAATAATAAGTGACTGTAGACTAGGGGGGGGGGGGGGTGAGGAATTGACTCGAAGTCGCCCAACGTTTCCGTATTATGACACTAAGCCCAAGACACAGTCCATGTACGCAAAAATAAATAATATATATGATATATAATTTTGAATACATATATCATTTTTGCTTTGTCTTGATCAGGCATTCAAGTTCCACATACCGGCCCGGGTACTATATGCACTGAAATATTGTCGATTAATAAGCTGCTTAATCTTTACTGTGCCGCTCTCATGCGATTCTTAAATTAAAGATGTTTTAGTTTTTTGAATGAAATGAATGAATTATGATTTATAATTTTGATGGTAATTTGACTTTGTGGCCTCCGTAAATTTTGAGTTATCGGTTTGTACTGTCTTTTTGAAATAATTAATCACAATTTGAACTAATTCACAACAGTATTTTCAAGTTATAGATAAAATCATTTTTCAAAAATAAAACTGTAAATTGCATTTTCCTGCATTTCTGGGATGATTATGTTGTTTGCCAGGACTTTTCC